TTGTTAACAGCAACTCTGTATGCCATCTGCTGGAAGAAACCTCTGAGCCAACATGCTGTCCCAACACACCTGACGGCACTCCGGTGGCAGCCCAAAGCAGCAGCATTTTCTGAGATGAACCTCTGCCCTTTTAATGCACCAACTTGCAGCACAGACCCACAGCACACACAGAAAGTCAGGGTCAGGGTGCATGAAACAAAAGCAGGACAAAGTCTGTAGGAACACACAAGACTTTGGACCTACGTTCCAGGTATTTGGTAAGGGAATGGCTTCAAACTGCAGCAGGGAAGGGTTAGACTGGACATTAGGAAAAATTTTTCACAGCAAGAGCAGTCAAAGATTGGCACAGGCTGCCCAGGGAGGGGGCTGAGTCCCCATCCCTGGGGGTGTTTAAACGTCATTGAGATTGTGGTGCTGGGGGAGATGGTTTAGGGGTGAGCTTTGTAGAGTAGGACTCGATGATCCCAAGGGTCTTTTCCAACCTGAATGATTCTATGATTCTACATGCCAAAGCATATGACAGCCTAGCAGCAAGAAGTAGCTCATTTTCAAAACCTACATCTTGACTTGAACCTCTAGAGACTTTTTAGCTCCTTCCATTGCTTTCTTTTAGCTGCGCGCATCACACCACACTTACCTCATTAGTCCGGAGCAACGCTCTACGAACAGTCAGCACGCTAATCACTAATTTAAACTTTGTCCTAGGAAAAATAGTGCACAATCCTCTCTTTAGAGGGTAGGGGAAAGTGAGGAAGGGGCAGGATTTGTAATGAGACACAGAAGAATCTGAAAAGAAACACCTTCTTTCTAGCCACAGTGGCAGCTCCCATCCAAGACTAGAACCTGATTGGTTTTAGTTAATGATAATTAAGTTTCTCTTTGACAGCGTCTTCAAATAGCTGAAAACAAGTTTCAGAATGCAGGAAGAAATGAAGCAGCTTCATATAACTCCAAAGTGGACTCAACTATCCATTGATACCACACTAGTTGGTCTGCTCTCTCTTTACAGCCCCAGGAAGACAACTCTACTGACGGCCTTGTATTGGATCACAGGAGTCAGCTAGGTTAGACCTCACGGAGCCAATGGAGAAATACACTTGCAACCAGATTTCCTTGAAATCCAAAAAAATCTCAGATTGAAGAAATCGCTACAACCAAAACTATGGAGAGGAGAAAGAAATATATCTAGAATATAAACAAGCACAGAGGGTTGAAAGCAGGACTGCTCCAGCAGCTGCCAATTCTTTTATCAAAATACAGTATAATGCAAAATGATACCCTTCACCTGTAGCCCATGTAGAGAAACACGTCTTATATATGGTTCAGCTGGGCAGACTCGTTCAGCTACAGCACAGTGACCCAGGAACTTGGCTCAGACTCTTCGGGCTCTTCCAAGATGAGCAGCCAAAACTCAGCCCACATAAAAGGCTGCTTCTGAAAACGCATTGCTCGATGCAAGAAATAAGGTAACTGCGCAGATATAGTAAACTCAGGAACCTGCTTCCTCATTCTGTCTGCAAGGATCTAACCTTTTATTTCTCCATAAGGATGACAACTTCATCTTCATCTTTTGACAGGCCAGCACCTTTACATAAATGGACATGAAAGAAAAAAAATCCACAAACACAGCATGATCAAGCTTACTTGTATGCATCACCTAGAAATCTAGGCTCCTTAACTGTGCCTGTGGCTTTCTAGGAGTCCCCCAATTACTTCTTAAGAACTAAGCCCCCCCCCCATTACTTTCTTGGAGTACTCTGCGCCGCTTCCTGACAGCGCCCCCACTGCTGTGTACGACTGCAGCTCCCCACAAGTCCCGGGTTTCCAGAAAAACCTCCAACACTACCTTTCTAGGATTTTCCTGTTTTGTAGGAATCCCCCCGCCCCTCCAAATCCCTCTGGGTTTCCAGGAATTCCTCGAGCTGCTTTCTATGACCACCAGGGCCCCTCACCCCAGCCATTTACAGGGAATCTCATTTTCTATCCAGGATTTCTCCCTTTTCTATTCTGTAATTAATATGATTTGCTTGTATAGCACCAGGAGAGGTAGAGTGATCTTTGCTATTTTTTCCCTTTATGCTATGTAAGGCCTCTAGCAAGACATGGGTCTGTGCTTCAGAAAGTGTACTGAATATCCATAAAATCATATAATACTGCAAGGTTGTTGGTAAAGTGCATTTAAGTTGTTCCAAAATTGACTCTAGTCACTTTAATGTTGTGAAATAATCACTTTCATAACTTACTTTACTACTCCACTAGAGATAGACAAGTACTATATTGGTTCCTTAATGAAAGATGCTGGAGTCCTTTGGCTTACTGATCTTGCCACGAAAGTAGAAATCTTCAGCACACAAAATTATTTCTTCAGGATGTCTATCAGGATTAAAACACAAACCAAACACAACCCAGAAACGCAGCCACCTTAATTCTCTGACGCAAACGAAAAAGGACTGGAGTTAGTGATTCGTGTAGAAGTTGAGAAGAGTCGAGTCAATGAACAGATGATCTCATGAGATTTATCCGCTATAAAATTGGAGATCCAGCTTAAGTCCTGATCTTCTAACGAATGAGAAGTCCCTACCACACACACAAAGTTATTACACTCACTTCTTCCTAGAATGATTCCTGAAAATCCAAAACTGCTGGAGGCCGCCTCCCAAAGCTCCTGTTAAAAAGCAAATAATTAAACATCACTCTTTTCCAAGATTATTTCCACAGTAACTTCATCTCTAATACGTGCATCTGCAAGTCTGGGTGAGAAAAGCAGAACTACTTATTCAACGGGAGGTTGGACGAGATGATCTCTAAGGTCCCTTCCAGCCTAGGCCATTCTATGGTTCTATGATTCTCAGCTGTTACTCCAAAACACAATATTGTTAAAACAGAAAGGAACCGGGTGTTTAACAGACTGTAACATGTTTTGACTCTAAAGTGTTGTGCAGCAGATGGAGCTACAAGTATGGTCTATGAAGAGCCACCTACATACGGGGACACACAGACATAATAAATGCACCTAACAGATCCCATCAGGTGCTTATCTTAACTTTTCTTTCTGCTGCAAAACGACACACAGAAGTTCATTTTTGTGAACTAAAGCTCACAACAAAGCAGCTCTCCAGGTTTCACATCAACAGAGACTGAAAAGAAAGAAATGTAATCAGCTCACAGTGCTCGTTCAAACGTCACATAAAAGTTCAGGTTCTTCTTTTGTCCAGTATCTGTAATTATGTCACCCGTGTCCCTCTTAAGAGTAGGTGAAGGCAGGAGAGGGATGCCTGCCATCTTCATCTGAACTGTGGGGACTGAGAAAGGACATGTGTTATTTCACCATACACCACTGACAAAAGTAAAAACCCGTTTGTTTCACACAAGATTGCTCCTGGAAGATGAGGTGTCCGCCCACTACCTCACGTCCCAATAAAAGTGTGACACTCCTTTAGCAGAAACAAGTGCACTACAGGTGTTCCGTAGGTTCCCTCCACCTCCTGGGCTCCTCTCTCCCCAAAACAATCCACCTGGCTCACCAGTTGGACTATGCCAGATAGATCCAAAAGTGCTTCCAAGTGCAGAGGAGAAAGTTAGTTTTCTACTGCAAAGTAAACACACGAATAAATTTTAATCTGACTAAAAATCCCAGAAAAAAATACCTAAAGACAAGTGTAAGAAAGGACTGCCAAAAAAAAAAAAAAAAAAAAAGAACATTACTTGGTTAACATTTTTCAAAATGTAGATACATCACCACAAGAGCATACTATTTTCCAAATCACGCTTTATTAGGAAAAAAATCCATCTTGCGTACATAAGTACAGATAACGTGCTTGAGGTGTTACTGTTTTAGGCACTAACTTGACTTCCAATCAGAACCTGGATGCTCAAAACTAAACAATTCCTCACTTTTAATTGTCTTAATAAACAACGAACCACTAAAGGTGTAAATTTGCAGGAGTTCTGAAAACATCTACCACGTATGACGTGTTTAAAGCATGATCAAAGTAAAAATTGAGAAGGTGGCATCCGTACTTCATATCCGTAAGTAGCAGCGGGCAATTCTCTGTGAGGGCGTACCTGTGGCGAGTGATACAGGCATGACGAACACATACGATTTATAAAAAGTACAAACAGATGTTTGGTTTCATTAATAACGCAGGAGAGTTCTGATCAACACATCGTACTGTAAGCCAAGAGCTAAGATATGGAAGGCCACACGTGTGTGGGTGAGACATTCTTGGTCACCTCCCTCTTCCCAGCCCCAAGTGTGTACGTTGAGGGTAGAATTCCAAACGTTTAAAGAGCGGTAACATATCACTCCACTTGGTACCTTCTCACCCTCAGCCTGGCAAGGACAG